AAGAGTCAACTCAAAGATAAATAATCAATCACTCCACACCAGTTATCGAAACTATAAACAAACTGAACTACGAACAGCTCCACACCAGTTATCGAAACTATAAACAAACTGAACTACGAACAGCTGTAATTATTACAAATTATTCGTCTGTTTAAGTAAACATAATCTTTTCTTCATAAGAAATCCATTGGGATTTTGATGGCCTGTGAGGATAAAGCCAGAGGACTTTTATTGCAGAAATTGGTGAAAGTGGGCGTCCACAAAAAAAATACTGAATTTTTACACACCCTTTGTAAAAATCCATCCATTATTAACGGAGTAGTGATTCGTAGAAATTGCCTTCACGTATTATATATAAGGATAACCTCACTAAACCAATAGTTTGATGCACTACAAAATCAGTTGAAACAATGTTTCACACATACATATAGAACTGAACATAGTACAAAAAAATTAATAAGATTTTTTGTAAAACTTAAACATTACCATTGATCTTGGGAATCATATAGTAGGATAAACCTTTGAACCAAGGGCAAAAGAAATCACAACAGTTCTAGACAATACAGGTTTTAAAATTAAATTACTATTTTTGAAATAATTAGAGTATTTCTGTGATTAATAGACTAACTGATCATTGCCGGTTTGCCAATAACATATACTCCCTGCAGTTAGGATTCATTGGTTTGTATCTCGCATGGTTTGTACAATCAACTGTATGTGTCTCACACACCCTTTGTCCATAGCCACACACACAAATAAACACGTGTTATTGATGGATTCCTTTATGGTGTAGTGTAGTACTGTGGTTTACTGATTTTGTACACACTAAAAAGTATTCATTACATTTTGTACTACAGTAACTTAAGATTAGGTGAACTTTAAATTTTTAACTAGGTCCAGTCCCAATGGGTTTGAACAAGAGGAAATACTAATGTAGGTTGCTTTACCTTAAGCATTTTGCTAGTGCAAATAATATTTACCAAGCAATTTTATTTAACTTGAATTTTTTGTTCCTACTTAACTTACTTATATATGCTTATATAAAAAGTACGTTAGAGACTACTACGTTACAAATTATCTAAAAATATTCTTATTAGAAACTAGAGCTAATTAAAATGAACTTTACAAATTTACTTTCAAACAGCATAATTTTGCTACGAGAGAACAACAAACGATGTTTCTTTGTTACAACATTTATTAAGCACTCCTGAAGTCAAAGGAATTTTATAATTGGGCTCTTGTAAGACTTTGAAATTGTGTAGTATGTTTGAGAATGCCCATGTTCATAAGTCGGTTTCTTATAAAAAAGTTTGTATCATTTCCAAGTTATTAGGGCCTATGTTTGAAAAAAAATAGCTAGATTAGCTGTATTAATTGTTTTTCAGTCAAAATGGATGAAATTTATAATATTAGGGTTACATAAATTAATTCTAACAAGGCTATGGTCAATTATTAATTATTGGATTAATTGCTTTGACTAATACAGGTGACAGCATCAACATTTTGTATACAATAAGTACATTTTGAAATTATGATTTTGAGTACAAATCCCCATATCCGGCCACCAAGGGACTGAGATAATGACTGGGTAACGATTTGGTAAAACAATTAAAATGATTTATAGGTTGAATTGGTTCAGTATGAAACATCAAAATACAATATCGTGATTTAAAAATAATATTAAATAATAATGGAGGTAAAAAAACTCAAAATATATGGCCTTTGAGATCATTAGGTCCTTATTTTCTACCCAATGTTCTCATCCAGTTTTTATTTTGTTTATTTTTTAATCAAACAAAATTACTGTACTGTAGTTATATAACCATACTGTAAATAATCAACCTCTGGTTAAAAGGTTGGGCCTACTAGCTCGACTGAGTAGACGCAGTAGAATGTTAACAAATAGATAAACAGTCAGGGACGGGGCATTGCACGAATAAATATTTTAAAAAGTTTGCCTAAAAACGCAGTACTACCATATCGATTTCATGGATTCTAAATCAAATAAATAATTTACTCAACCACGGTTATTTTTCATTATGTTAATTTAAAATCGGGTCTGTTGAGTTAAAAATACAGAGTTTCCATTGCCAGTGTGAACGTATTAATATGATCATACTGACAGCAAAGTTAGCGCAGTTTTTAATGAAAATAAGCCATAAATGTTCATTATATGGATCCCTACAGGGCCCCGACTCAGCTGGATCACCAATAAATTCAAACATTACTGAAAATATTACCTCACATAGTGTCTTGTTTATTACCTTATTACTTTGTTTTATATGATTAATGGTTGAATAAATCTTTAGTAACTTTTTAGACAACTTTGGTTAGAGTTTTAGCTATACTAGTTTGTCAAAATGATACAATATACAATGATACCAATTATGTTGATTCAGCTACAAATTATCCACCAGAAACCATTATAATTAACCATATGTATATGTTATAATACTTCAAATGAAAACCATTTTAAATTTCCCAGGCACTATCTGACCCTTACTTAATAAAAAAAGTCCACAAAATATGCTGGTCTGATGCTGTAAAATGTGCTGCCTGCATGCTAATAGCTTCTTAGTGCAAATAATAAATTGTTTGATTGACAGAGCCTTTTGTTCAAATTTAGATTATCACACACCAGTTTAGTTTGAAACAGTGTCATCATAACATTTTGTAGAGTTCGATGTTCATAATTACTATTTTATTTTATATAGGCTATTAAGTTAGTTTAATCCAAACAATGCACCGCCATGGTTCTGTATGTACCACATGTTTTAAAAGAATATCATGTGCAAATAAATCACATCTGTGTAAATACTATTTCTTCATACTGCTGCAAACACAGCCGTTTTTTAATGCATGTGTTGAGGGTCTATTTCTTTCTAGGGAGTAAAAAATGTTTTTAGCCCCTAGCCCTAGGGAGTAAAACGTGTGTTTATCCCCTGGGGAGTAAAAATCAATTGTCGTCTAATCAGTTGTAGATTTTGATTAAGTAAACAATTGCATGTATCGAAAGTATGTATCGATTGTTTAATCCTTTGTAGCTTAAATACAGGGTATGCGGAAAATACTTTTCCCAAATTCTTTTAGTTAATATAGATAGAAATTAATGATTTGACTTGGGCTTCAGTGCTTTCATATCAAGAATCGTTTTAAAAAAAAAAGAAGAAAAAGTAGGTTCCACCACTAACATAGTTTTATAAAAATAAATCTAAACACATAGAAGCATAGATTATTTGGTAATAATTAACGCCCAATTATTCTAAAAGCTTATTCCGCAATTGTTACGCTAATCCAATACAAACGGACGTATTAGAGGTAATCTAGCTAATTACAAACAGAGGGTTGTATGTTGCTAAACGCGGATACATATCATATGTAATTAATTGATATCCATGTAAGAGCTTATCATTTCTGAACAGCACTTTACATTAGTTATTGCTAAATCGTGATTATCAGTGTCCACTAACTGTTGTCGGATTAAATAACGTGTGATATATGTTATACAATGTATAAGTCAGGATTTTTGTGGAGGTCATTCTCTTACAAAGTAAGCTCTCAATGTGACAAACTTTTGTGCTTGTTAAGTTATAAATGTACAATAAATATTTTTTATTTGGCTAAAAGTGTAGGAAAATAAGGAGCAGAACACGGGCCTATTAATGATTAAAAGCCCCATCAGTGTTGTCGTGAAACTACAAAAACCAAAGCGTAATAATATAAATATTTAAAAAATAAATAACAACATGTGACAACCAGTGTTTTCATTCTATTTGACATGATAGATGTATTGTAGAAGCCTACGATTTGGCATATTTCAGCCAAAGATTGAAAAGTTGGTATTTTGGAATATAAAAACACAATTAGGGAAAGAACACTAAACTTTCTTAAGATATCCCATCTCAATGACAATTAGACATTTTAAAGATCTACTAGTAGTACCTACTTAACTTACAAATGTTAATTCTACCATGGGTAGAACTTTTAAGAACCTTTCAAAAGCCAGGAATATAAAATTTATAGTTTCCCTAACCAAAAAAGTGCTTATCTGAAATACTAACAGACAACAAATTGTTAATAAATTGAAAAACTTGAATAAAAGTAAAATCACCAAGCCATCAGTTACATAGTTTTTTATCCGACAATGTAAATTAAATCTGATATTTTGCCACACAAAGATGAAATTTATTTTAAAAAAACTCACAATGTACAGCCTCAGAACATTACCTGACATTTTAATAACCGTAACTTTTTAAAGCCTGACATAAAACAGCAAACCAATAACTAGCCAAACAATGTCCCTATTAATAAAACCGTGTTTGTAGCAAACAACCAATAGATCAACCGTTTGTTTGCACGGTTGTATGATCACAGCCCCATATTTCAATTTCAACTCTTATTACATTCAGTGCAATAACAACTGAGCGCCCAATTGGAATTAATCTCTTCAAAATACTTGAATCGAGAAATAAGAAATGTTATAGAGGTGGGTGTTAAAATGTTTCCCAGATTATTAGAACTACTAAAGAATGTTTTATTAATGCTCAAAGACATTATTATTACTGATAGTTTTTTTCTATACTAGTAAACCGTAGCCTATGTAATTCATGTGAATGTTAAAATGATCGTTATAAAATACATGTTTAATTATATCAATGAGTATTATCTCCCAGAACTTCCTCAAGATAGTACTTCAGAAGGGACATCTAGTAAATATTGTTATTCGTCTGTTGGGACTTCTAAAAACTTATTAAGAAGTTTAGTATTTTTAAACCTAGAATTCAGTAGTGTTTGAGATTTTTTTAGAAAACTTTTCTGACAGGTTACGTTAACCAAAATCGTCCATCAACTAAACTTCTACAAGGCAAACTCAAGCCAACAATACTAAACTATAAACAGTAGGAAAAAACCTCTGAATATCCAGACATATTTAAAAACAATGAATACAAGTCAAAATTTGAAAACTACCAAGAAGTATCTTAGATGAACGAAACACGTACCTGAATGGGAGAACTCCTTCGAGCGCCTGGTTGATGGTAGGAGCACTGGAGAGCGCAAATCCTTTGCCCAGCAGACTCGAGTGTTTGGTGTAGATCAGTTGAGCGATGTCCTCCACAGCTTCTATGTCTTCTTCCAACTCCTCCACTGCAATAACAGAGTCATTATAGTTGTCAGTTTTGTTAAAATTGTATTCTTAATGGGATGGAAACATAAATTTTAAGCCAACACACATTAGCATAGCCCCAATATTCATTTCTGGTCAGTTTTATCTTTGAATATGGATAGAGCTAGATAGTTCATTCCCATGTTAAGGTCGTAGTCAGTTTTGGAGTAAAAATGAAGAATGAAAATCGATAGAGTGTGTAAATTACTGTCTTCTTTCATATACAGCATATTTTTTACCAGGTCAAACTAAAAAGCCGATTTATTGTAAACAATACAATCTTTATGTCACCTTATCAACATTGGTTACTAGTAGCAAAAAGTATGTTAGAAAATAGAATGTTGACACAGGGTGTCCACAGAAATGGGGTTGTGGCCGACTAGAGCATTGGAACTCCACTCAAATCCATCCATCATTGGGAATTTCCATGACTTATTGCCTATTTCCATGACTTTCAATAACCAATTTTTTTCCATGACTATCCCTGACTTTCCAGAATGTGGACACTCTGTGGCAGTAGCACTTTCAGTGAGTGTAGATGGGCTGTCTGTAAAAAAAAAGGCTGTCTTGTCTCTCCAACAGTCAATGGTAAGACTAAGCGTACAAACACACGGGACGCAGCACGGCACAGCACGGCACGTCATGACGCGTTAAAAACAAATACGTACTTTGTAATGCGAAGGAACACACAGAGAGCGTCAAGGCGCAACACGGGGCAACGAGACGCGCTGCGCCGTGCCGCATCCTGTGCTTTTGTACCCTTAGATGAAATAAATATGTAAATAATATAATGTCCTGATATTTATGTACGACATTTAATGTCCTATAAATAGTTAGAGAGTCGTACATGTAGTGAGTAGTGTTTCAAGACATATTTGATCAAACTAACCTGAGGACACAGGCAGGACGAGGTCACGTTTCATGAGAGACGCAGCACACATGCCACCGAGGAAGGCCAATTCTGTCTCTAGGTGTCTCAGTCCCTCTGTGGACCCTTGCGACCATTCGTAGCCAATCACCAAACACTTGAACCCGTAGAACGAAGCTTTCTCGTCCTTTACATAGTCAGATGCGGTTTCAAGGGAAAATATCACCTCATTGCCTGAAATTTTATATAACTAATGAGTTATAATTTTGTGATAATTCAAGGAGGTTTAAAGGCTAGTACTCACTAGGACACCCGGTCGCTTATCAACCGGCGACCTGGTTGACGAGCGACTAAGTTGATGATTGAACGTTTTATTGCTGAGTGGTACACACTAGGATACCTAGCACTTTCAACCAAGCTGGAAATCAATCAATAGACAATTTGTTTTGTTCTGGTTCACGCTTAAGCCTATCAAAGTGTGAACCTCAATGACAACACCATGCCCCCGACGGAGAGGAAGTAGCTGCCGAAGTTTTGATTATATTAAAAACTGTGGGAAGTAGAGAAGAAGAAAGAAATTGTTTAGAAGATTTTGGGTTAAAGGGTGGCTTTAAAGTAGAAATAGTTACAGCCAGCCACATCGGCACTCCTACGAGCTTTTCGACTTAAAATCCTCAAGATTTTAAGAACTATTTACTTATTTTAGATGACAGTTTCCGTCATACTAAGCAACCAGTGACACCCGTGACACCTCACATAGAAAAAAAGGACGTCAGACTGAGATTTTAGCATGGTTTTGTTTCGTCAGTTCATTTTTCGTTGTACTGCGCATGCGCTAGCCGTCTTTAGTTGATCAACTTGGTCGCTAAAGCGTACACACTCTAGTTTTTTGAAAAATCTGATTGCCTGGCGATAAAATGGTTGATCGGAAACCCCCAGGTTTTCGATACATGTCCGAAAACCAAAAAGTTGCCTGGCAACCTACAAATCGCCGTCAACCAAATTGACAGACACGTACACACACGGCGATATTTGTGCAATTTGGTCGCTCGTCAACCAGATCGGCGGTTGATAAGCGACCGGGTGTCCTAGTGAGTACTAGCCTTTAAGGAAGGTAACAAGTTGCTATGGGTTTCAGCACAGAGTAAAGACCCAACACAGATGTCTCACTGAGATAATAATAACAATGTTCTACTAGTCCCAACACCAGAATCTAGGAGCACCACTGTTACTGTGATTTGAAAAGGATACATTTCAATTATAAGAGCGCACTTTTCCAGGTGCTACCAATGAACCAGACCACAATGCACTCGTCAACTTGTACATTCCACAAGCAATTGTCAATCACTGTCTTCTCTAGACTGCCTCAGACTTTAGACTGCTCCAGATTGACTGTCCTGCCTCAAAGTCCAGGGTAATTGATTTTTAAGAGGTTAGTGGCCTCTTTTAACCTTGCATTTACCCGTCCACATATACTACAGATCTGTGCGTGGAACGTATCCAGCAAAGCAAGGGGTGAGCTGGTACAGTACGAAGGTGAACTGTACTGATTAAAAGTTTGCGGCAGTGACCAGGATCCGAACCCACGACATCATTGCCTTGGGCCCAAAGTCCTTGACGATACGAGCTGAGCCACCGACTCACCAACTCACACCAATTCTCTGTAACTTACACTACTACAACAGTTCAACATACTAAATCATTTATTTTAGTTTTAGCTCTACAAACTAATTTGGAGAAAAATTGAAAAATTATATGTATGAGAGCCCTATCTTAGCCCTACAGAACCCCGTTCCCACCATGTTGGTTTGCGAACTTGTTTGAATAAACATATGTGTTTACAAAAACAGAAATAGAAAATAATAGGATATTTAACAAACACACCAGGTAACACCACAGCAGACTGAGGCCACTGGGCAGGTACGTTGCTGAGGCGGTGCAATACAGGGTAGTAGCGGGGGGAGTCCTCAGGCGGGGGTGTTGGGGCAGGACAAGCGGGAATATACAGTTGTAGTGAGTCCTCCGCCTGAGCTGTACAACACTCCGAGGCAAACTCCACACAAACCCATTTGACACTCTCGGGGAAAACAACTCTGTAACAGTTCCAAAAACCATAAATTTTAATTTTACTACAGTTTTGAGAATTTTTGAAGAATATTTGTAAAATAAAAATACTGTAAAAAAAACTTTAAAAAAAATTATGATTAAAATACATTTTTTGCTAAATTCTCTCTTCAAGGATCGGTCGGATCAGGTTTGTTTAATATTTTCAAAAAGTGTTCTTATTGATACAACAAGATAGACTCTAGCGCTTGGGAAATAAGTGCTGATTGTTGTGGCCTTATCACAGAGAGTCATCGATAATAAAAATGATCATAAAAAAATTTAAATATCGTACTCTTCCAAACTTCTAAAAAAAACAAAAAAAAAAACGATATAACTAGAGAAACTGGTTGGATTGTATTATATTTCTTAACTTTAAAATAATGGCCATAATTGTTAGTTTAAGGAAAGATTTATAATTTTATTTTAAAGGAATCCAATAATTGTTTTGATTTAGTTTTAGACGTGCCAACCCGGCAGACGACCGAAAGGTCATTGCTGTAGCGCGTAGGCACGTCCCCTGCGTGGGACGAATTATTGTGCACTGGGTATTTTGGAAATAAAGCGCTTTTTCTTTCTTTCTTTCTTTCTTTCTTCACAGAGAGTCATCCTCACCTCACTGTAAAAGGTAGCAAGTGCTAATGATGAGTCGGTAGTATTAAGTATTTAGCAATGAAGGCCTGTGTTCCACTAAAGTGCTTTGATGATGACTGTCTACAACGAGGCTGTAACATTAGCTTTTGCTAATAAGTTTCTGTCTTTTTGAAGCTGTCAAAGAAGACCTAATTTGTAGTGTTAGTGTCAGAAACAGTCAAATGTGTAGTGTTCTTATGTCAAATATATTTGTAAACTTGTCAAAACAAATAAACCATTTATGTCCTTACCTGTAGTTGTAGACAGTGGCAGGCTTGTACGGGTGATCACTCTGCACCCAGACATAATGGTGACTGGTGGTGTTCTGGGTGTCGGGACAGCTGATAGTGTCCACGGAGGTGACAGACTTGCCCATCTCACAACTGAGCAGGTTCAAGGCAGACACATGAGGTAACAACTCTTGAATCAGTCCCAGCACTTGCACTCCACTCTGTTGTCAAACACAGGAGGTTAAAAAACTATAGTTAAACGTGTCTTTAATAAACGGATCCTGCTTACAAAGCCACAATGATTAGCTCACTAACCCTACGCTGAGATTCAGCTTAAAATATACAGGGTAGCTGAAAAGTAACTTGCACCCCCCCCCCCCCTTTAACTTTTCAACAATATGAGGTATTTGAAATCGGTTTGCGCTGACCTTCTTAGAAATGAGGGGCTACAATAACTACTGTATGTTTAATTTTGAAAATTTTGAGCTACACTGGCTACCCCTTACAGCAATATTTTCAAAACTAACCATAATTATTGTAGCCCCTCATTTCTAAGAAGGTTGCCGCAAACTGATTTCAAATATCTCAAAAGGTTTTAAAAGTTAAGGGGGGTGCAAGTTATTTTTTAGCCACCCTGTATACTGAAATTACGTTTCTGTCTTGATAAAGTCTTGATTAAACGATTAAGTGACATAACATCTTTAAACTAGAATTAGTGCCGCTTTTTATGATTCAGGTACGAGTAGACACCCTGTATCTTGTTTGAACTGCTATCTTGAACTAATCATCATCTATAATCACTACGACATACCCTGGGGTCCGAGGTGGCCAAAGGACTGACATGAGCCAGTGTGAGAGGCAGCAGTGTGGTGACCAGACAGGCAGATCCCAACACGTCAGTACAAGTAGGAGGCTCCTCAGTGACTCTGGCGCGCGCGAGACTTAGCAACTCTGCGCTGCGTGACACCACAGCCCCGCAGAGAGAGAGTGTCGCGCGTCGAGCCTCACGTTCCACAACGCCTCGACCTCGTGCAACTGCCTCTGAGTCTTGTGGGTTACTGTACACAAGATAACATTGCTGATTTAAACTTTCTCCAAGACAAGGCACACTTGGTTATTTCTTTGAAAATTAATGGCTAAGTAATAATACTTAGGTTAGCAATGCTAAAAGGATATGCGACAATCAAATTATTTTAGTTATATTTTTAAGAAAAAACTAAAAGAGGTGGAGTTTTCGGAAACAGATAGAGTAAGCCTATTGGAGAAAGTTAAAAAACTAAGGCATAGAGACACACAAGATTATTTACACAACACATATTTCATCATAGTGTGGATTTCAAAAGACAATAGTTGAATAGGGATTCTACTGTTCTATCTTGTACTTCACCTACCAAACCTCATTAACCGTTGAATCTTAGTAGACTTCTTACTAGCTTCTATAGTAGGCTTCTTGGAGTTGGCAAAGCACTCAACTACAATACTTCCATCCCTACAACACATTACACACCTGAAGTAGAGGATGTACGGTATCTGTCCACGTGTAGGTGTCGTTCCGTTGAAGTTCAAAGAGCAAGTAGAGTAGGTGAACATCACTCCATCTGGGCCCTTGACTGAGCTGACACCTCCGTCACCGTTGCTAGTGCGGCCACCGTGATTACGCAATCTGATGGCGTACTTCACGTTCTCCTGAAAAGTAAAATTTTAAATTAAAATTCTTCCCTTTACTCCTTACAGACACGTTGGTTTTGAATCTCGTTAATACCAGAATCGTTAAGTCAAACCTTTTGAGACATTGGTTATCTGAATTACTCATTACTCATCCGAATTTTAAACTCGAAAAACAGCTTCTTCCAATTTTGTCACAATTAACAAAGTTTACAGTTTATTCACAGTTGTAAGTTTGAGTTTGAAACAGCTTGTTTCACCGTTATGAATTGCATTACCTTGATGTAGACAGGGTAGTCGAACATTAGCTCCACAATGTCGTCAGTGCCGCAATCGTCAGGTCCAAAAGATCCCCTCGTTAGCTGCAGACTGTTCCAGCGTTGACCATGGGAAGCATCACTGTTAGAGTTGCTCACCTAAAAACATAGACAACAGTTTAAAAATGGAGTAACTTACTAGACAGAATAATATTATAACAAATCTTAGAACAAAGACAAGGGTGTATTGGTCTCTTGAAAAGGATGAAAAAGGGGGAGTGGGGAAAATTAACTCAAGAGAAAACTTGGTGGGAAAAGGGAGTGAATTGTACAAAATCATAAAAGATTACTTATTGCCGAAAAGGACATGTATACAGCAACTGTTATAGAACAAGCTTTACAGAGATATGAGGGTGGAAGGCATTTATCAGCTCATCCATGAGACTGGGGTTGCTTAATTTGGTAATAATAGTGGTATTACGATAGAATAGCTTACTACTCTGTTTAACTTGGTAAGATTTACTCCCCTTTTTGATTTTTTTCATGAACTGTTTATTTAATCTTGGGAGTTTGGTATAATGTTATTTGTATGTGTTTATAGCGGATAATTTTTTTTGTGTCTTTAAAATGTGTCTAAGAAAAATGATAGTGCTTTCTACCTATAAGGTTCTTTTAGCGCCAACCTTTTTTTAGATAATTAGCCTAAGCATATTAAAGATGAGTACTATTCATAATGTAACAGTTGCAGTAAAAAGATAATGACGTTTGAGATTAAGGCAAAGTATTACCTTAAAATGTACCAACCAAGTGTTTAATAGTTAGTTAGTGTGGGAGCTAGCTGGTCTAGTGGTAAAGGACATCAGTCCCTGAGGTGGTTTCAAATCCCTACAAATCACATGGATTTTATCTAAATGTTGATGCTGCAACCTCTAGGCCTAGGTTGAAGTAAGTGCAAAACTACCTGAGCCTAGCGTCCTAAGACCAAAAAGATCAACGACAACGACAACAAATGTACCTTTTGTATATTAAAAGGGAATTTCATCAGATTATAACGTAACCAGTGTAGTCTCTTACATCGTCCAGTATCTCCAGCTCGTAGTCGTAGGTGCCAGTGCCACCATAGACACCAACCCCCGCCACCACCACTCCGCCACGGTCCACACTGAAGCAGATGGCGTCTGGTGACCCATTCCCCGTGTTCCAAGTTCGGCTCTGGTTGGTCCGTGTGAATCTGTTGGGTGTCGCGTGAAGAACTCGACCACAAACCCCTTCCAGGTCCTCCTGTTACCATTAATGTTACAATTGCTACTGTTGTAGTTAACAAAAACACTTATGATTGAAGTTACCAAAATCTATACACAATTTGTGACACACAAGTAAAACAAAATATGTTAACCTACCTGAGTCTACCATAAAATGGTAGATTAAAGAAAACTTAAACTGAAATTTAAAATACTTCTTACAATTATACTTATTCCAGCTTAAAACAGTTTTGCTGCCATTTCCCAGTGGAGGCAAGGCAAAAGATTAATTTAAGTGATAATCACGTTTTAGCTTATCATTGAGTTATGATGGTGTTGGATTCATTACAGTATGGACAGGTCACAAAATTTCAGGAAATTTCTGGAAACTCCTTTCCTATCCCGAACTAAACATATCCCTTTCATCCTTACTAAACAGTATTTACAGAATGTTTAATTCTTTAACATTATTTCATTCCCTAAACCTAACTGCTATGGAGTTACCAGCTGTTGAAAGGTCAAACTTGGGTACCTACATACAAGTACTCCAATACAAGTACAGTACTCACATCAATGCCTCTGGCCTGAGCTGCCAGTTCAGCTACCACCTTGGCCAGTAGATGGCAGCAGTTGGTTACCAGCTGTGTGGAGTGAGAAACTCTCTCTAGACACAGCGCCTGCTGTATACTCTGTGTGACAATGTCTAGCAGACGATCCAACACGTCCTTGAACTGCCACACGGATCCTGCGTCCACCTGGTCAACAGACTTGTAATCAGGGCTATTTATTGTGGATATTTATAGGGATGCACTGTGGATGCGATGCTCCCTGGTGTGGATTAACGTCCGCACTAGTGAGTACTACGACTATCCGCAGTACTATCCTGATAATTAGACCAATTCGTAAATTACAAGGAAAAATGTGGTTCGGATTCCACTATAAACTGTAGGTCCCTTAGTTGCCATTAGCTGTATGGGCTATCAATTAACAGCTGTGTCTAAGGAACATGTCGGCCTTAGTCACTAACAAGACTACAAGATCGTGCCACTCATCCTACACTCATATTTGGGTTAAAATACGCACATAGTGGCGTCCCCATCTTAACTAATTGATAATTGATAATAATTGAACAAGTATCTAGCAGTAAATATTTCAAAAATGGGCTACTTGAGCATTCAACTCAAATATTTGAGCAAAATAGTAAAAATATTTTTTTTTTTTATTGAGCAACTCTAATACAAATTCAAGTCAAGTAATTGTGCCAAACTGAAAATACTTTACTTTACTTTATACTTTAGTATGAAATGGCGACCATACAAAGTAGGTATTTTAAGCCAAGTATGAATTAATATCCCATACAGCTAATTGAAACTAAGAGACCTACAGTTTATAGTGGAATCCGAACCACATTTTTGTCTTGTAATTAACTAATTGGTCTAATTATCAGGATAGTACTGCAGATGGTCGTTTGGACAAATTTGTTTCAGCAAAGGTAAATTACAGAAGTCTTTTAACTGACCCTGAATCAACCACTTCCGGTCATAATGTCTTGAGTGAATTTTAATAACAAAACATTCTGACCCGATAATGCGATCAATTTTCTTCAGCCCCAGACAGCTGTAGTCGAATTACAGTATACTACAACAAGTCATTCTTACAGCAACACACGTAACATAAACTTTCTTATAGTAACACAACTGTATAGAATACCTGGTTGCGTATGCTCATCTGTTCCACCAAGATGGGGTAGTGGTGGGTGTCCACTCCAGGCATCATGGGTAGTCCCGAGTTGTCTGAGGGGGACAGCTGTCGCCGCAGAGGATGCTGGGAGTCCCCGTCAGGTGAGGTGGGGATGGGAAATGTAGAGCGGAGTCTTACGGTAGGACTGCACAGTGCTGCCACAACGGCACTCACCAGCCGGTCTATGTCTGCGTTCTGGCGACAGTAATAGGTAAAATATCAGCTGTCATCTCTTGTTAATTCTCTGATGAAATGTGAAGATTTTATTTGAACTTAGTATTAGAAAGAGTTCTATCAATGACACACAAGTTCTACAGGAAAAAAAACTAACCTAAAGCAGTAAAATTGAAACATCTATCAATGACTTGCCATTTCCATGGAAGCTAAGAGATCACATAGTGCTGTCCACTTGAGAAAAGCCGTGGGATAGAAAGCATGAAAACAGGCCACAAACGTCTGGTGACACTCTTCTAAGATCTCCAAACACATCTTGCTGTGCTGACTCCCTGTCAACAGAACAATCCATCAGAGGTGACAAAACTCGAGAACTCTGACAAAGAAAACAGTTTATATTAATAATTGTTCATTATTAGGAATTTACCTTTGACGTGGGGACAATAAGAAGTATTTATTTAAGTGAACATCCAATCAGGCTAATGGAAATTCACTTAGTCTGCAGGTTTGCTGCGATAAGGGTATTTATAAGTATATTTCTCTCCTGGTTATCTCTCTGTTTGACAATATGTTTGACAGTACTTTTTATGTTATTTTTAGCTTAAATTAAATACATATCTGTATAATTGAGTATTTCCTAAACGTCATGTCAAATTTGATTTATGTAGAACATTACAAAATAGTCAACTAGCGTCAATACCAACAGAAAAGTATAACAAACTAAACTAGCATTTACACAGCTTGTAAAGAATTAAAGAATTCCTAAATACTTCTGTAATGTGGACACTCACCCTGAGTTTTCTTGCGTAGGGAGGGCAGAGAGTCTGACAGGATGGTACGTAGCAGCGCTCTAACATCACCAACACACTCGGCAAGCCTTACTGACTCCTGGGCGACCTTCTTGTGTGACACTGCCAACACAATAAGGGATGTGTCAGAGTCAATAAGTTGGTGTATCTGATAGCAATCTGTAATTTACATCAGCCTGCTCTGTCCAAATCAAGGAGGCCTAGGTTCATTTAAAATCTAAAACTTTAACTTGGGAAATCCTTAGTCAATGCCTAGAGTTTACAAATGAACATCATAAAAAAACAAAATCCAGCTTTTTCCTATGACATTTAGAATTCAGATACCAATACAAAAGAACCAGTTTCATAAAATAACACTGATATTTTGTTCCCAGCCGGAATTTGTAAGAGTATTTTTTTAGTAAATGACCTTGTGTGATGGCCTGTTGTTAAGTAAATGTAAGCTCTTGGTGATGTTTTCAGATATGTTTAATAAACTAAATCCCTTAAAGAAAAATTCTCAATCAATCACCTGGTCTTATGACCTAAATAGTAAATATGTATTAAAAATAAGAAATTGATTTTACGCAAAGATAGTTTATCCTGTATTTTTGACTATTGATAGAACCTTAATCATCCAAAAGTCAATACTTGTACCTTTAAGCGTCTAGACTTTTATTTTCACAGATAGCCTTGCTAATCTTCTATTTCTTTCTTACAAAACCCCTATATCTGCCACATTTCAACAAGCGGCAAGCCCCTAAATACACTCTAAATAATCCGTTAATGATATCGCATGCTAAAATATCAACTCAAAACTCATTTCATCCAAATATTTTTTTTAGAGAATTTAAGTCGAGGTAATTTTTTTTTACCTATCAATAAAGACTATTATCCTACTAGCAAGTTCAACCAACCTCTATTGGGGTATATCTCATTGATGTAAGTCTTGATCAGCCGCAGACTGGCTCTGCAGATATAAACCAGTCTCTCCAGGTCCAGCAGAGCAACCAGGTGACTAGTGGTGGAACTGCCAGTGCCGGGGACTACAGTGACTGTCGTCTGCACCAGGGCGGACTTGAATGTTGCCCAGGACCACTGCAGCAGACTCAGCAGCGAGCGGAAACAATCCTGAGACAAAGAAAAGTTAAATACTGCACTACCATTGATTATACTAACCCACACCTTAAGCATTAGTTATAGTCTGTTCAAAAAATGTTGGAGGTTTGAGGGGAAGTTACGCCACTTTTTGCTTTTGAGCTATTATTTTAAAGGCAGGATTAAGTGGAGGGGATCAATTTCATCCTCTAAAACCGGCTAATTTTGTAAATGGAGTATAATGAACAAGGCAAGCAGAGATTTGAGTGAGAAAAGATAAATATTATCCAATACCTACCAGCCAAGGTGCCCCCTGTTTTTATAAGAAAAACTTCCTTTCGTTGACCATTGTAACATAAAGCCAATTGCAACATTGACTGAAACACCGTTCCCACGGTCCAATCTTGCTGGTTTCCCAACTTGTTTGAATAAACATAAGTTTATATTTATACGTTTATACCAAATTGAATCATAGTCGGATGGTTTTTACTCAAGTTATCATGGTAGCGGACACACACACTAGCCTCTTACAACATCAAAACAAAAAAGTAAATTGGTTCAGGGTCTAGGACTTACCATGAGACCTAGGGTAATAAATTACTCCCTTAAAGGGAAAATTGCCATAAATGGTATTGGTATTGAGAATTGATTATCGAGAAATTTTTGTATCGACACATCTCTTGTAGATGCAATAATTTCTCCTTTTACTTTTCTATACATGTCTCATACATCGATAAATATCTTGATCACTTGTGATCCGTGTGTTTTCTCATGATAAAAAATTGATCTGTCCCAAAAGTTATGAGTCAACTAAAAATGCTCAACCCTAATTACAATTTTTGTCACAAACCACTACTGCACTCACAGTAGACACAGCTCTGGAGAACTCCTTGCTGAGTATGTACACAGGCTCAGCACAGTCTGTCTGTCTTGCAGCAGTTTGATTCTCAGGAGTGACCACACGGTACAACAGCTGGGGGATCTGACCTGCGTTGACATCTGTACCGTTGTTGGACTTCTTGGACGACTTGAAGTAGAACACCACCCTGAATTGTGAGGTTTATTATCACCAATTGGGAGTATTTTAACACAAATATGAGTGAAGGTCGTGAAAGGAGTCCATACTCCTTGTGTAGCTTTGTTACTAAGACCAGATGTTTCTTCAACTTCAACCATACCAAAGTCCAATCAAGGACAGCTGGGTCCAGTTTCAAACCATCAAAAAGTTTCAGATTTTTTCCCAGAAACAAACTGGCAACCTTATCATTGTAATGCGAGCACTACCATTCAGTTATATGGTGTTAAAGCATGTCACATTGGAGACATTTGTATAGTAATGATTTCCAAGGAAGGTATCTAGAATTAAAATCCAAGTCAAACTTATCTAAAAGCTTGAGTGATCATGCATCAAGCAAAAGAATTTAAACCAGTCAAGAAGAATGAGAATCTTATGTATCACTGTGATTGCAAGCGATGTCTTCCAAGTTTGTGCAATCTTGGTTGGAAGCAGATCATCTTGAATAGTATTTAAATAAAACTATAGCCTGGTGTGAACAAATAAATTATTCAACTACTTACTGGTCTTCTGTGCAAACCATCCCTTGGCCACTAGAGCCACAGTCACTGGATGGTCCACTGACTCGAGCCCACGCTACGTACCAACGGTTGGCCTACAACACATCCAACACATTACTCGTCAACATTGGAACACAAACAACTCAGAGAAATATTATAACTCTACATTGATAAGAAGTAAAATAGTATAGTGGTGTATTAGAATCAGTTATTTTAGAACATAGTTCAACTAAAAATGTGAGGATCTATAGAACAAATACCCCCGCCGCAGCAAACCTGCAGACTAAGCGAATTTCCATTTGACTGATTGGATTTACACTGAAATGTCTACTTAAAAATATAACATTTATTCTTGATTTAAATAGAATTAGTTTAACAAGTACTTAGGTTTGCTGCATCAAGGAGGGTAAAACTGCTTTTTTTGTAAAATGTGACTAGTTAGTAAGAAATAAAAACATTTTCCAAATTTGATCAAAATATGTTCACAAACAAGCAAACTACAACAGTTTACTTATTCTCCATAAGAATAACATGGGAATTTTAAATTTACAATTTTTTGGAATTTTCTCCGTAATCATTAGGCGCATAATAACGCTTCAATATACTAAATTATTTGTTTTTTTAAGCTCTACAAAATGGTTTGGAAAGAAATTGCTAAATTTTATGTTTTTTGGGTCAAAAATGGGAAAAACCTATTTTTACCCCATAAAACCCCCCGTAAACCCCCGTTCCCATGGTCCGATCATGCTGGATCGCGAACTCGTTCGAATAAACGTACGTTTACACGTTTGTACCAAATTTCATCAAAATCGGATCATTTTTGCTCGAGTTATCGTGCTGACGGACACATATATATATATATATATATATATATAAATATATATATATATATATATGAATTTGAACGGATGGTGTTTTTGGCCTCTAGGGACCTCAAAACGAAAAAAAAAATCGGTCCCGCGTCCAGGTCTTGCCATGAGTACTACGGTAATAGCTTATTCCCTATATGGGAAATTCGCTAAAAAGATTGGAAATTTGAAATTTTCAGGATAAATAAATGGATTACAGTAAAAATCAATATCAATGAACAGAGCACAGGAAAGATTTAGATTTCATAGTTCTTTCAAATATTAAAATATCAGGCTGGATAATATTCTCCAGTAAATTCAATTTAACGATTACATAAACCTCTCACAGAGTGCATCCAGTAGCTGTCAACGATTATAATGAAATTCACCTGTAGGGGAATAGGATCGTCAAAGAGCATCGGGTACTTCATCCTGGGACCACACTCGTAAGGCACCTCTTCTGTCTCGGCCACCATGTCTCCGTCATTCTCTTGCTCGCCTCCCTCCATGCCGATGTCGTAGAGCTACCAACATACAACACATGTCATTCTCATGTTGTGCGACTACAAACTAGGTGTGAATCAAGTACTAATATTGACACAATTATCCAAAAACTGGTGGTTTGTCAAAGTTTGTTATTGATGTCAAACAAAATACTTTCTATCTAGTCTCACCTTGATCTTGCCTGTGTATTCACCACGGCCTCCAAACAGGCCAAAGCCAGCCAGCAGGATGTCTGTGTCAGCCATGAAGCGGATGGCTTCTATTGAGTGTCCTGAGTAGCCCCAGCCTCCACCATGGCCTGAAGAAAACAGGACAAACGATTAACAATGAATTAGGCCTATATACGATTTTATAGTTGAACTTTCATACTTATTTACAGAATGTATACTTATTTTTCACTTAAAATATTTAAAAAACTTACACTTTTGAACGTAAATTATCATCCAACGAAACAAAACCAAAAACTAACTAAAGAACTCACCATCAGATGTCATAAAATATAGATTTCTAGTATTCCTTTGCTCAAGACCTGATCTGAAATTACACTAAAACCTTTACTGTGTCCTCTACAAAGCTGACAACGATGAACGTCTGTATAATAAGTTTTAAAGCAAAGTGATCCAAACCCTCAGTTTTGGTGAAAATATAAAGGATTTACCCATAACCTCTTCTAACACAAGGCTGCGGTGAGACAAAAGTGGCAACACCGCTGTTCCGTCAAAATGAAACAGCTGTTGCACTAATTTGTAACGTACAGAAAAGGAAATGTTTATGTTTACACTTTTGTTATTTCTGTTGTTACCATGGCAATAGGCATGACATTGCGACATTACCACACATCAACGCCACAGCCATGTGTTAGAGGAGGCTATGATTTAACCCATCTCTCACATCAAGGTCCAAGATGCTAGTATTTAGGCTACCAACCCACAATATAACCATTAATTACTATGGCACTCACTTTCAAACCGGTTGACCGTAGAGAAGTCGTCCCAAATGAACACCTTGTCCTGCGGGTCTGCGGTGTCGCCCTGTGGACACAGAGTGAGTCTGCGTTCCTGCGCGGCTGTCAGTGTGTCCAGCACTCCCAGCAGATGAAGCGCAGCCTGTGTCCTAGTCACCAGACACCCTGGGGTCCATGGCAGTGACAGTTGCGGAGACAGTATACACGCTGCCACCTCCAGCCGAGTCTCACAGCACACTACGTGGTGACACACTACTTCAGGCGAGTCTCCCGTCTCGCTGTAGCTGCAAGATCAGTAAGCAGTTAGTATTTTGAAGTTGATTAATTACTAAACCAAGGTGAGAGACGATACGGCATAAGATTGAACTGTACTAATAAATATTTGTGTTAACGACAAATGTTGCAATGGATTCATAATCCAGTAGCCCTACTGAATGTGTTACTTAATCACGAGTTATAATAAGTGAAGAACACATCAAGTACTCCTTTGTAAGGCCACAGCCTAGGAATGCAAATCAACTAACAGGAAATAAGTTGATGCTTTAAATTTCAGCTTCATTTTTGCAAACTCAAGTTTCTTGATCATGGTGATACATTGTAAATTAATTTAAGTGTTCAATCATCCAGATTGAGATTATTCATCATTAATAGTATGGTATTAGCACAAAGCAAGATAATAAAAATTCTTCTAACAGGCACATTCAATAATATGGCCTGAAGGTGTTATTTTGATCTGAATAAATCATCTGGGTCCGTTCAGCAGAGTTTTTGGCAAAAATTGGTTAAAGTTGAGCTGAAAAAGCACAAGAAAACACTGTAAAACAACTTGAAACCAAGTAATAGCCATCTAGGTTCTCTATTCCCACAAAAACAGTTAATTAAAGGTTCTCAGTAATCCCGCATTTTTTATCATGGCACTACTGAAGTCCAGAACAATGTTGACTAATAAATATCTATTGTTCACTCTCACTGTATGCTATGGGGAGGAACATGGAACAGTACAGAGCCTTAACTAGATATGTTGATATTGATACAAAATGACCAACATACCTCCACAGTATGTTGTAGAGAGGGTCGAGACAAGCAGCTGTGCTGGTAAAGTCCACCTGGTCGGCCCCTTGGAAGCTGGCACAGTTACCATCCCTCTTGTTGATCACCAGACACTTGAATGACTTGGACAACTCACAGTGGGTGGGCAGCAGCACTAAACAAGAGTAGATTGTGGTAACAAAGAGCACAAGAGCACTGTACTGTTTGATGTTGGATAGTAGGCTTACCTGAATGGAGAGAAGTCTATTCTGGCACAAGAAACATAAAATATTAGACTAAACAAAAAAATAAAATACTACACTGTCACTGCCAGTTAATTCAACTGCAGAACATAGTATCATTCCATTTACTCAAACCTACCTTGCTTGGTAGTAAATAATTTCTGTGACAGCGTAGTACTTAGATTATTGTGTATTGTGTAACATTTTGCTGAGCCACAATAGATTCTTTCTCTACTTTGGCTAACCTGCTAACCCAACAATAGTCCTTAAACACATTAGCCTAAGTCTGCTTACACATTGTAATTAAAATGTCAACACTACATTTTTTTAAGAGCACATATCTGTCCAATTTGTATGGGTATTGAAAATCAACTAAATTGCTACCTACACTAGACATTAGACAGTAAATTAGTTTGAAGGTGAATTTTAAATTTTAATCCATTTGTATAGTTAGTGATTCTGAAGACTCAAACTATCAACTATGTCATAAATTCTCTCCGCCTTGAGAACTTTGCTAGAGAACAATATATATTTTGATTGGGACAAGAAAAAAGTGAATATTATTTTTACATTTGTAAAACTAAAATTATGAATAATTATTTACTCAATGAGATGAAAACTTTGATCCAAATGTGTTTGGTTTCATCTTGTTCCAAAACCTTAGAAATCTCACTAACTCCAGCTAAAGTAAGATTCCACAACATTACAGGCATGGCCCATGTTCGTTGCACCAACAACTTAACCACCAACTTAGCAAATCTTTCTGACTATCTACTTAGCCTAAACTCTGATTAATCAATCACAATACCTGAAAAAAATTTACCCTTGACTTGAATCATATACCCTTATGACCACATTTGACAATTCTTATATCCTTACAATCTCTCACATTCTCTGTCCACAACGCTTGTTCAAGGCATTGAGGACACAAAACCATTTATTATTCCACATCATACTCACATATGCAAGCTTTGTTAGCCATGACGGTGCTCTGTTTGAGTGTGAATGGGTTAATGAGGCTCTCGTCTATCCGCAGGAATGTCTGATCAGCCGAGGCCCCGACCCAGGTAGCTCTACGACCGTGACGGGGGCCTACCCCAGGCACACTAGTGGGGGTACAGTGCCACCCTGCACCCTTCCTACCCCCACCAGACCCACTTAGCGCTGACACTCCTTCAGGCGGGGCTCGACCCAGCTGGCCCTTCTACAAAGAAAATTCATTATTTTAAACAATTTTCTGATGAGAATCCAAGTAGATCCAAGAAATTGTTTTATCAGATTTGATCACCTTGATACTAAATTTCAACAAATAATTTACTTTAAAAAAATTCTTAAGCTAAAATTTCACCAATATAAATCTGATATTGTTGGTTGTTCCAAATTATGATATGAGATTAAACGGATAGCAGCTAGCTTACCTTATAAATGCCCTGGTAAGCAAATAGTACAGACAGAATATACAGGAAATAAACAATATTATTTCATCTAGTGAGGACTCCGTCAAGTTCACTAAGTTTAGATAAAGAATATGACCTAACAGGGCTTTTTCTAAGGTAAGCTAGTTAGTTGATAAACCTGTATTCTAAGAATCACAATTCCTGACCTAAAACGAGCCTTCCTTAGATGAAACTATTCAATTTATAAATCAGAGGTGTCATTCATGAATGTTTAAATGTTGTTGACTGTCCATAATAAAACTATAGTCTTGTAAGTTACAATAAGTATGTAATATAGTTTTTGCCATCAATACTACACATAGACCTACCTGATAGCTGCCAAACGTGTAGACTTGTCCGTTGGCCAGCAGTACAGCAGTATGGTTGCTGCCAGCTGCTATACCTGTCGCTACACCAGGCAATTTGACTACCACAGGTCCTCCTCTAGTCAACATGTCACCTACTCCTAGCTGTACATACCTGATAGCTGCCAAACGTGTAGACTTGTCCATTGGCCAGCAGTACAGCAGTATGGTTGCTGCCAGCTGCTATACCTGTAGCTACACCAGGCAGTTTCACTACCACAGGTCCTCCTCTAGTCAACATGTCACCTACTCCTAGTTGGCCATAGCTGTTGCTACCGAAAGTTAACACTTCTCCATTCTGTGTAAGCAGCACTGAAACACACACAGTTTTTTTTTTCAATCTAGGTTTTAGAGGTTACATAAAAGCTAGTACCTGGAACATAACTCAGCTTGAAATTTTGTACTAATGTTATATTCTACACACTTTCTCGTGGAGGGTTGATGAGCTTGTTAAGGTTTTTATCTTTGTGTAAAAAGGCACAAATATTTTAACCAGATTAAACACTCCTGACACACCCTTGATGATCAGTGGTGACAGAGTCAATTTGAAAGTTCTTCTTCAAATTCAACGCTTACCAGTATGATGGAGTCCACATGATATCTGCACCACAGGAGAGTCGCTAGGTAGATGAACTTTCCCAGGAGGTAGAGAGGAAACTCTACTCGCCTCCCGTTCTACATCACTCCCTCCAGCAACCTCTTCTACTGCAAAACACAATATTAGTTTGCTGTCCTCAGGTTTAGATACAAAGTAAGTTGGTATATATATTTCACACTGAGGGCAAAAAGTAAGGTTAAGCGTCATGAATAAAGTTGGAGACATAGTTAAGATCTTGCAAAGATCAAGAGCTTGCTAAATACTTTTAAATTAAATAAATTTTACCACCATATAAATGCAAAGTTAATGAATTTAAAAGTGAAAAATATCTTTCAAAGTTAAAAATGTTTGGTCTTTATAAAATATTTGACCAATACACCAAACATCAACCATTCAATGTGTTAAAGTTTCCAATTTTCATATAGGTACCTGTTAGTGGTTGAAATTTCTTGAATACAAAATATTTTTAGTTAGCAGTGAATTCATCAACTAAATAAATGAATTGTTAATCCTAAGGAAGTAGCAATATTTAGCCCTTACTTGCCAAACCATACTTTACTACAATCAATTAACATGTTACATAATGGATAACATCCTCGTGTGGTGAAACAATTAACTTGTTAACTCAAACTCAAAAAACTCAACATACCAACAAGAGCAGGAGGTGCAGTGCTCCTGAATGGTATGGGCGGCTTGGCAGGAGCAGGCATGATCGGAGCGCTAGGCCCCGCTCGGTTGTTAGCTCCTTTCAGCTTCAGTCCGTTATGTTTTGAGCCCAACTTTCCTCTTTGTCTCTGTTTACGCTCCTCTAGTCTCCGTTGAAGATGATCTTGTAGTCTTGCTCCATGTCGTCCTAAGAAAACTCACTCTTTAGTACATGTAAAAAATTAAACTTAATTTTTGTTTTTATTACTATACATTTTTTACATTAAACAATTTCAACACAACAACTTTTTTATACGCCATTAACTAATGTAAATTGTTAATCAGAACCTTCAAAAAATTCAACTGCAAACCTTCTATGGTTCGTAAAGTTTTAGTTTAGCTCTCTAGCATCAGTTATATTCATGCTCTTAGAACAACCTGTATAAATGCTACTTTCTAAAAGAAAAACATACACAAGGAATGCCAATCCTTTTCTCTTTTATATTTTTTATTTTTTGTAAGGGAATGATCCAGATTCTGATCTTGTTACTATCTAAAGTTGACCTTTGGCAATAGCATTATTGATTGATATCTAGATGACAAATAGCATTTGGGTCTAGAATCATTGGAAAAACTAGCAACTGGTGTGAAGCCGAGAGCTATAACAATGCTTGTGGAACTGTCAAACACAACAAGAAACTAAACAAACAATGTTGCATGAGTTTATAATTCTTTGAAAGACATAAGTTCATGTTTAAATGGTTTTACAGACTTGTTTAATCATTACCATTTCACATACAATCTTATTTTTAGTTTCAGATTGGTAGATGAGAGTTTTTAAGGTTTTGGGATCTGAAATGTGAAAATGAGGTCACAATATGGATCCAACAAAAAGGTTTTGAAACACTTCATTTACTACAGTAGAGCGTCACAAACCCAAACCTCAAAAATCTGAAACGTCAAAAATCCAAACCGCTCCTGAACAACACCAAACAATTAACTTGCAAGTAGATGGATTTGTTCAAATTACCACCTCCAAAGATGAGATCGAGCCGCATCATGCCCGCTATGTCTCCTGCGCCGCTCGGCCCCAGGATGGCCAACTCCGAGTTGTCGACATTCTCCTTGGCGCAGATCCTACAACATCCGCACTCTGCGCAGCCTGAGTCACCTTCCCCACAACCACACTCCCTGCAGCATAGCAATCAAACATGTGCAGCAATTGTAGCTACAGAAATCACTAAAAACTACTGGTTAACATCCCAAGTACAAAATAAGGAAAATACATAAAAAATGTATGATAAGAAAGTGTTTTCAATTCTCAAACAACTGGAGTGTGCTGCAATCAACATTATTTTTTATCTGTTTTGTTTTCTGTTTTTGTTAGCCTATTTTCTGTTATAGTTTACGTGGCAAATGAAATGAGATGCTGTAGGTTGAATTTTAGTTTAGCTTGGTCAAAAATACGCCAATTCGACATACATCATCAATTCAGAATTAGCACAAATCTGTGGCACCATTCAACTACTTGTATTCACTGGTTAAAAATTTAACATGGTAATGAAATGTTTAGTTATATCCATATTGAAAGCCCATGTGATGGTGCAAAACACGACCATCGTTGGAACCAGAAGAGTTAGGTAGTGGAGCGCATAAAGACGAGAAAATAAACTAACAATACTGATGTATAGTTCTAGCCATAGACAAATATATTATTTTTCTGAAGCTATTGTGAATTCATAAATAAATATTTAAGTTTACTGTGGTCCACTCACTGTCCAGGATTGCGGTCCGGTCGCATGGAGCTGAGGCAGCTAATGCTATAGCCTGTGCACTCCCGACAAACGGTGCACACCATGCACAAATCATGCTTCCACTTGTGTTGTCCAGGCGCACACATTGCGTCCTGTGCATCCTCCCACTCGCCTTCCTCCTCCTCTCCCCCCTCCTCCTCTACAGCCATCTCCATGGCGACCACCGTTTGAGCTGTGGACAGACATGTAGGTGACAATATGAAACAAGCTCTTTTTGAATAAGCTAATCTGAACGATCTGTTGATGAAAAAGGTACCAGGAAAAATAGTACCAGGTTAGCTGGATTGTTAGATTGACAGACACAAAGAAATCAAAGTCTTTTATATTCACAAGTGTAATGGGAATAAGCATAATAACAAATCTTCAAATAGTAATTTAGAAAAATGTTAAAGCTATATCAACTTATTCAATTGACAGTCTTTTAAACAAATGTTTTTTCTCCTCATCAGTTTTAAAGTTCAAATTCTAACCAGGCATAGTAATAAAGGAATAAAAAAATGGAAATATTTCATTACCTCAAAGTTTGATCTGCAAGGTTTAATTTGATTTCTGCAACATATAAACTGACATAATCTCCTTTTGGCAGAATATTAAATCTTTCATAGTTCTAGTGGAATCTTGAAGTTTAAAACATGGAGATCATTTAAAATGCAAAACCAATAGTAAGGAATAACTTCTCTTTTAAAATCTTGGAAATAGTTTATGATAACTCAGTACATAAAACATATGTTGACAGAAGTTCTTGCGGGTGGTTAATTACCTTCTTTGACCTGCAGGGCAAACTCTCGGCCACACTGGCCCTTGTTATTAATCCCGAATGTGAAGACTTGTCCTTTGTTGGTAAGCACGACTGCATGAGCCTTGCCCAAAGCTACTTGAGTGACATGTACATCCTTCAAATCAGTAACTAGACCTGTAAAATAAACCATTATAATAAGTCAACAAAATTGGACAACTCTCTTTTAATTGAAAACTCTCTCTCTTCCTTTATTGAAAATGCTGTCAGTGACAGTGAAATGTTCTGATGTGTATTCAGTGTAAAGTTTAGTCTCTTGTACCAGTTTGGACTCTCTCCAATCAGTTATGTCTGCTATCCTCAAAAAATCCTAAAAACCTAGGTACTGTGTTTATGTTAGGCTACATCCTTAAATGAGACATAGTTAGCCAAATTCATGAAAAAATATTAACTGCTAAATAAAACATCATAACTACTTATAATCTTAAAACTCAACACTATTTAAATATCTATACTTATTTACCTAATGTTGGTGTTCTTTTAAAAATAGTGTTTTAAGTTTTTACAACAAGCTAACCCAAGCTCCCAGATAAATATTGCTGCAGAGGATTTGTCGGGTAATACGAGTTGACTTCAAGAAACTGTAACAACAAATTAATTAAAACAATTACCCGAAGCTGGATCACAGTGAGTGGTGTCTTTGCCGAACATGTGAACTTCCCCATCTTTGGTGACCAATGCTGTCGTCCCGTTGTTACAAGCTGCCGTCACAACAAACGATGACTCCATCTTGGTGAGTTTCTTGGGCTTAACCGCCTTCAGTTGTCGTCTTCCTTTGTCTGTTGGGATAAAAATGTAACAATCAAAACACGGATAGAATGTAAAATGTTAATTTCACCATTGGTCTCAATGTACACTACTTTTAAGGAGTTAAGAAACACTTCCCTTTTCCTTACACAGAGTATAGGCTAGTTAGCACACATTAGGAAATGTCCATTCATTTAACCTTAAAGCTAAAATTAATTATTATTTGCAATTGTGAACTTTAAAAGACTGTACCCCTCTGACTTTGTCTGCATTGACCTGATGTGACTTTACTCACCAAACATACTTTTCTCACCTTTTCCTTTTTACGAGCAATGTCGAGCAATGTTGCAGCAATGTCGAGTTTACATCTAGACTATGTTTTTAGGTTTAAATGTTATTATTATCTTCAAATCATGTTTAGATTTAGGCTACGTTAGAACCGAGACTTAACCTAAAACCTCAAAATTGAAAGGCCATTGAAATGATTAGAGAGGAGAGCCTCAAGAGTGGTTGGAATAAAATTTAGCATCCGGCTTGAGTAGTACCAAATAGGAAGAGATTTTACCTTGAACTATTGTCAGGGTTGCCAACACAGTTGAAGAGACTAAAAATTGTTTTTACTGTTGCATATGTATGAATATGTTCACTCATTATTTTCTTCTTTGTAAATCTTTATGTGTCTTGAGGTCGATATTTAGATTCATATTTAGACTTTGTTAAATACTTTGATAGAGAGAATAATCACAAAAAATAATTAATTAATTAATAATTCAAGTAAAAAATAATTATTAAAAAAATGATGAGTAGGGTACAACCTTTTATATTTCTTCAATCTGAACACAGAGCCTTTAAGAACATAAACACCAACAATAACACAATAGCATCTGTTAATATTCTAAAATTCCAAACCATGTGTTGGAGCCAGACTAATGGCAGAAATATTTAAAGGCCAAAACTATTTCTTGGACACAGACTAAAGGCAAAATAAACCAAAAGAATACTTAACAGTCATATGAACGCAATATATACACTGAACGATATTCGATAAAAATGGTTTGGTTGTGTTGATAGCCTAGTGGTTAGCGTCTTGGACTTCGGTGCGGGAGGGACGGGTTCAATCCCCGGCACATTCACTAAACATTTAATCTCTTGTAACTTCTCTTGTAAAATGCCACTGGCGTAGAAAAAAAAAACAAATTAGGTACTGGTAACATAATTTTTAAAACACAGAAATAAAACACATCTTTTGACTTTTAAGCTTAGTGTGGAGGCATAAACTGGGGAGATATGTACCAGGAAAAGTCATGGAAAATCTTATGCCTAACTTATTGTCTCCAACTGGGATTGTGTATCACATACAAATCAATAAGCATGTAGCCTAGTGTGGTATTCATGCAAAAGAAAAAAACCTATTCCCTTTTCAAATCTTAATTTAAATTTCAACCAATGGGTTGTAACTCACTGGAATCGCTGTCCTCCCCTCTACGTGCAGTGCCGGTGAAGTAGACGCTGCCGTCCTCGGCCAACAGTATAGCATGTAGTCCGTCATGGCCTGCAGCCACATGGGATATCCTAGGAGCCTTCGCCACAACCAGCTCCTGCCACTTCCCCCCTCCCCCGGCAGCACCCTGCTTGAGACCCAGCGCAGACGCTTTGCCAGTGTACAGCACCTGAAAATAGGACATTATTGAGGTTAGGACACAGAGCTGAGTGTATATAGTGCTTCCTTTTTACATATCAGAAGTTTGCCAATTATTTCCTGTGTGTCAGAAGCTTATTGATGGTTTAAAAGTGGACTCAGTTGTCTTTGATCATTGGGCATTTAAATAGGTTGATCTTATTCAGTAACAAATCTATCACCTAATTCTATCTCACCTATTTAACACAAATGATCCCGTCACCTTCGCTGTAAAATATGCTACCTGGAGGTGTCGGCCTCTTACAATCTAATAAGTAAATTTGGTGTGAAGTTTTGTGTGTCATCAACTGCTCCGAATTCTTTTCTCAGATAAGAATGTTGACAAAAATTCCTTCTAGTGTATTTCCAAGCCAAGTGTTTTTAACAAATGTACCCCACAAAATATCCATTTATGGGTTAGATCTAGATCCTTACATTACCACTGTTAATTTAATTTAAAAATTTTGTGGGAGGTATATAAGACACACTTAATGTATCCCTAGGCCAAAGGTTTTGTCCAAAGAGATAACTAACAGATTTTCATATTTGAGTTGCATCTTTATATCTAAAAACAATGAATTTGACAAACCTTGCCAGATGTTGTCCGTATTAGACAGAAGTCCTTGCCCGCAGTGACGGTGGACACCTCGTCATCGCAGCCCGTGTTGAGGGTGTGTATGTTGCTGTCCTCGTCAAACGCTGCAGTGCCAAACACGTCCACACACTTGCGCGCCAGCTTCAGTGGCAGTTCTGCGCCGGCTCCCACTGGACCACCGGACAGGTTCAGTGTCCGCACCACAAAACTGTCCTGTACACAACACAGTGTGAAGACATGCATACTGACAAGAGTGTTAGTACAATCGTAGGCGTTTGCAATCAATGTTACATTGGTACAACCCTTTAAAAAATTGTTTTTACACCAGTGGCATTTATTAATTAAGAATTTGACACTTTCATTGCAAAGCAGTCCAAACCGCTGAAATCTGTTTGAATATGGTGGGTATCGAACCTGTCCATTTCACACCAAAGTGCAAGACATTAACCACTAGGCTAGCACACTTGATTGATTTATTGATTGCCAACAAGCGTAAAAGATGGGAGTGTGGCTGCTTTATCACATTGCTGAGCAAAGAATTACAAGGCCTAAATAATTCTTGTAGATACAAGTTATATCACAATAGAGAGATTTTAGGAAGCAAATACGTGAGAGATAATGAGCAATATATCTTTGTTACAAAAACTGAAAAAAATTAAAACTGAAGGAGAGGAGTTATGTGATGCGTTAAAAAAAACAGCCGGGAATTTGGAAAATAATAAGCCTATATAAAAATGAAAACTTAAGCCCCAAAAAATATTTGTCCTACAATTTATACAAAACCAGATATCCACCATTTTATATTTTAACAAAATATTTTTTTCACCAATTTATGTAAACCAATTTTTATTAAACTTGGCCATAATATTTTCATCTCGTCTAAATCAATTACAAACAAATTATTGTTGCTGTACAAGTAAACAATTTGCGATGACAGACAGGAAATTCTTAAATATCAGACTATATAATCCTTGTTATTACACACAAAGTGTGTGCAAAATGGATTGCAATGTATGATGAATATTATACTGTTTTTTTGTAAGGTGTTCTTGTGTGTTCTTTCGGGCTAAAAACTCTTCAAACCATTAGAGGTTGCACTAATATTTTTTATACTAGTTCAGAACTGGATTTTTTTACTAAACAATACCATTGACTATACACTCTGTGAATATCCAATGACAATACTCTACTGGACTTTACATGCCTAGCCTTAATATTTTACTTCTTTGAAATGTTATAGAAATAATAATTTACCAAAACGTAATCAATGTTAACAGAAACGATTTGAACTTACATCTCTCGTGGCCGTCACCATTCCAAGCTGGTCACCATCAGAAAACATAACCCCCTCTACCTCTACCCGGATGATCTGCTGAACGCTGAGGTTGTTTGTGTCAATCACCACCAGTTCGGCTTTGTCCAGACTGCGATAGTAGAGCGAACCCTGTGACAAAACAACTGGCATGATCATCACTAGACTAGTGTGGGGAGTGAACTGGTCTAGTGGTAGAATACGGTTCCTGAGGCCCCGGGTTCAAATCCCACAAAATCACCAATGAATTTTGAAGCGTTATTATGAGTAAGTCTAATCAAAAACGCGGACATTTTTTAGAAAGGTTTTTACAAATTATACCCCTTGCATGGTATGATTTAAATACCTAACTTACTTAATGACTCTTCAACATCATTAATTTTCGATTCTGCGCTTTGTTCAGACACTTTCTGCAATCCCAAGAATAAAAACTCAGCTAAATTTTCTAACTGGTGCTCAATCACTCATGCTTTTAGGCACAGCTCTGTTTAAAAATTGAACCATTTCTAACTACAAAGACATGTATAACTGACATTCAAAAAATTAACTGACTCTTTACTATAATCACACACAGTCAAGGGAAAAGAGTACAATTAATAACAACACCAAACTAGCACAGACCTGAGCGAAGCCTAACCAGCCACGCTTGTCACAGTAGAAGTCGGGTTTGTAGAGATAAACATGTCCACGGATAGTCCCTGAGTATCCTGAGCCGATCTTAAACAATCCTCGGGGACAATGAAGGTAGAGGTAGTGACCATCACTAGCCAGGGCTCGACCTGCTGATACGCCTCCGCCATCTGTAAGTTATTTTGTTAATAAGTTTCTTCTACAGTGGTATTTTCTAGAAATTTTAAGGGAATCATTCTAATTATTCAGGGCTACTCAAAAATATGAACCCAGTTAAAAAGAGAAAAATTCAAAGTTTTATTTACACTGATTACAAATGCTCAATATGTCCACCCTGTGCTGCACCGCAAACATCTAAGCTATAGCCGAACTCGTTCCACACATGAGAGAGCATCTCTTGTATCACCAATTTCTTGAAATTGCATTACTAACAACTGATAAATGGCGGTAAAACAAAATGGCTGCCCATTGTTGCAATAACTTTTTTGATCGTTTACGGAACTATGACCAAACAAACTTTGAAATTTCTTCTTTTTATGGTATAAATTTTATGTAGGCCTGATTTATACTTTTTGAGATACACAGTCATGAAGTCGGGTCCATCCTGTAGCCTACTTCAATCACAATATTTAGGTGCTCTCTGTTTTAATGTTTCTTGGGGGAGCGAGCTGGTCTAGTGGTTAGAGCTCGGGACTCCGGTTCCTGGGGTCCCGGATTCAAATCCCACCAAATCACCAATGGATTTTATCTAAGTGATAATGCCGTAACCCCTAGGTCTAACCTGAAGTAATGTGAAAAAAATTCCGGGCTCGTGCCTAGCGTCCTAGGACAAAAAAAAATTTAACGTATCAAGTCTTAGGATCACCTTTCAAACACCAATGGTCAGGAACAGACGTATCACACATGCTCAGTAACAACTAGACTACCAAGCTAACACGCAAACTTTAAAGTTTCAACCCAAACAGACATATAAATTGATTGCTTACCTCCAGGCAGTTTAAGTTTGAAGGATGTCAGTTTGGCAGTTTTCGGTACTCCATGAGTGATCCAATCTGGTCTGATAACTTTCCCCAACAAAACACCGTGAACACTTCTCTGTAGAGCTGCCACAGCATTAGGCAACTGTAATGAGATAATGTACACCATTAGTGTATCATTGTTAATCAATAGTAAGTGCAATAATTTTATAGTATTACATAATGTATGTACTATGTAGATAACAATACAGTAAGTTTTGCCAAGGAAGTCTCAAGATTAGTACATTTGAAGGCTTATAGAGAGAACAGGAGGAAGAAGAAGACAGGTGGAAGGAAGATGGAACTGTAGAGAGACTGGAGCCTAGTTAACACCCAGACGTGGAAATAACAAGAACAGGATAGGAAATGTACGAATGTACAGTTGCTACTCAAGAATCTGACACTTGGTTATCCGATACAATCAATAATCTAACAGTGAACAAAATGAATCATTGACTGATTTTTGGATTCGTAGTTGTCACGCTACCAACTAAGCTACCAAAGCATTTAGAGAACCTAAAATCTATGTAACACTGTTACACTCACCGTGATGTTCTGTCCCGCCAGTGTACGAGGGGCCATGAGCAGTGCTGAGGTGGCAGTCAGCAGTTTCCCTGTGTCTCCTCGTACCACCACCAGACTCAACAGACAAGCACACGCCACGGCTGTCAGACTGGCTCCGTCATTGCGAGACCCGGCCGCCTCACTGCCAACTCCGGTGGCAAGCTCGAGTAATAGTTTGAACAACGGCTCTGGAACATTCCACAGAATACCAGGTCAAGGACTAAGATTTATCATAGGGATGATTTTTTTAATGAAGAATGGATGTACAGCATCAGGGAGAAATTTATGGACAGAAGTCTCCCTAATCTCGCACTATATGCAGGGAGTTTCTCTACCAGTTCCCATAAAATAAACCAGACTTCCAGGGACCTTTAAATGTAAAGTATCCTCTATACCATGTGCGGTTCTTCTCGATTTTATGTAATGTGCATTATTTTTCTATAGTCTAATAAAAAGGAAGATTCCTGGAAGATCGCAAATTACTAGTAGATTGCTAAGCAAACTATAGGAGTACTATAGGAGTGGACTGTCTAATTGTTTTTTTCTTTTTTTCTAAAGAAATATTTTTTTTACATTTTCTGTAAGGGAACAGCCTAAACCTTGACCTCCTTACTATCTAAAAACAACCCCTAGTTAGAAAGCATTGCATTAATTAGTAGCCAAATGACAAATGCTATCTGGGTACAGAATTAATTCTATTTGTAATCAAACATAACATAGTGTTTAAATATAATAAACTTTACAACTTTCCTATTTGTTAAGTGCTTCTAATGTTGGTGGATTAACTTCTTCTCACTTTTTATTTTATATGTTGATAAATACACACGACGTGAAATACTTTTGGAAATACAATCAGAGACTTCTGTGACCCATTATATAATCAGTGACTTCATTGAGTAGCCATCTATGGGAACAGAAAGTGCCAAATTTGGTTGGACGACAGATCAATGAAGGTCATGAAAATGCAGTAGCAACTCAAAATACACAGGAAACCTACAATCTTTCACAAATTATCCACACTAGTAAGACTGGTCAACCGATTTCTAAGGATTAAAGAAGATATAAATATTTGCTTCCAGGAAAATTTCCTTACCAATGACTTCAGCAGGCTCGGCTTTCAGACCTTCGGGCTGTTGACCTTGAACCACGTCCAGCAGCGCACTGAGAGCCTTGGTACATAGCTCCGGATATGTGAAGCGACTCTCTCTGATTAGCTCAAACACACTGCGCAGTCCGACTCCAACAATCTGTCAAATGCAGGTCAATGAGTAAGAGTAATGCTTAATATGAAATAATGTGTCTTAACTTTTTAGTTTTTACCATCAAAACAGAAATAATATTGCATTGAATTTGACTAGGGAGCCAGTGAATACACAAATATATAAATCTCGTTACATACCTTCGGAATGCGAGGCGGAGTACTCTGGTCCTTTTCTCCATCTTGCTCTTCCTCATCTGTATCAGACTCGGTTGCCACACATGTGGTTGGCGAACTACCACTAGACTGGAGGTAGATTTCACATGCCTCCTTCATCCAATTCTCCAATACGACCATTCTAACGGTCGCAAACACAGCAAAGTTTGATGCATTTCCTGGCAACTCCACCTCGGGGGGGCTTGATACATCTCCGAGTGCCTCCACCTTATGACAGTAAATACGTATGTTTATAGTAGTAACTACGTACGTTTATTTGTCTTATGCTAGCAATATTGGTTGTTGTTTCTTTAAGATTGAACTACAAACAAAGAATTTCATTTTGAGATTATACAAGCTGGCCTACTGTCTTCTTACATTTAGACTATCAACTAATTTTATTAATCCCCTGGTTATTAAATTCATACAATTTTGATCAATGTTCATAAGGAACTAGAGGACTTTAGGCAAAATATTTTTGAATAGTATCATCATCAAACTTATTGGTACTGGTATATAAAAACTTGAGTTCCTGGATGTTTTTGTTATATTCTGTATAAAAAAATGTATTTGTTAGGTAAATGAATCACTTTGGTATCATATTACCCTCGAACTACACTCGCATTAGAGTTTGCATATTTTAAGGGTTAAACTTACTTATGTATTTAAGATACAATAATTTTTTGGAAGTATAATACGTAAAAATAGATGCCGCATGCCGGTAGGCCTCATCATTTAAGGTTTAGTCAATAGCATACCTTGGTCTTCTTTTTGTCTTTTCCCCTGGGGCTTTTTCCTTTTTTTGATTTCTTCCATTCCGACTTTCTCCTAAAATAGAAGAATTAAGGTTTAAATTTATTAAAACACAAAATATCCTAACTTGTAAAATAGTGGGACCTAGCAAATGGTGCAAGCATTTTTGAAACAGTTTTTTGCAGCATTTTCCTACTAGTAATATACCGTAATTATTGTACAAAATTAAGTTAGTCTGGAGGAAGGCTAAAAAACAGACAATTTGATTCATTTTTTACTTTACCTTCCTAATCTAACCTATTTTAACTTCAAAACACTTAACTTAATACAGCCCCAAATTCACATTAAACCCGACCTCCCATGACTAAATAAGAGGTGGAAAAAATACTTTAGAGTTGCCTAATTTAGCCTAATAAACAAAAAAAAAACCGGTATGTAAAAATTGCAAAAGTACCTCTAGGCTATATCTAAAGTTCATAAATACCCTGGAGAGTTTTAATTGGTCTTTAGGTAGGCCTAGTTGATGGGTCTAGGTTTGCCAACTTGCTCGGATGCATCTGCTTTGTTTTTTGTTGATGCTTGAAATTTTGTATAATGTAACCCTGTAAATTTATCTCAACTTGTGATTTTACAGCATGTAAGATAATCTACTTATATTGACGTGTCTGCATGCAGCTATGTGTCTTACAGGAATAAAGCTTAAGTTACCGGTATTGATTCTTGATGCTTCTTGGTTGTAGCATATAGGTACCTTAAACTATATACTTTAGCATAAACCTTTTAAAGTTTAAAATTTCAAATAAGTTGTTTATCAGTCTGTTCAGAAGTTACGAGGGCCAACTAATGTGAAAGACAGGCCTGAACTGAATGGGTGGAAGCTTATAACTGATAGGTCCTTTTGTTTAAAAAAGCAATGAGTAAAGAGTTTAAGTCAGCTAGTTTTAAATTATGTTTATATGCCATGACCTAGACTAACAATAAGTTATCCAGAGTTAAATTAACTTTTTAACTTATAAGTTACCGTAAGTCTCAGCAGGTATGTAAGTTTATTTATTTATTATTGTATATGAATCAATGTAATGGGTTTTCCATTGGAAATAAATAAAATTAATAAAAAAGCCTAAATAAAGATAGGGTATTGTACCAACTTGACAAAACAAGTGAAAAACTCTGCTGGGTCTAGGCTAGCTAACTTAAAAGATGAAATTAGGCATACATTCAATTAAGTTAACTACTCAAAGAAATCAAAATAATCACCACCCGGTTGAAAGCTTACTGAAAATGCAAGGCTTAGTATGCTATAAGGCTTTATATTATTGGCCAATGAGGGCCAAATTCTTAACCTAACCTAGGAAGAAACAAAGTGCTTAAAATGAATCAGCGTGAAACTGGCAATAGGACAGCAATAACCCATTCCACTTCTCCTACCGCCCCTCCGACGAATATACGTCACAGTAAAACGTCACAACAATGATGGCGTCACAGTAGGATTCGTCACAAAGCAGCTGACATAACCTCCAAAATATCAAGTGGCGGGAATTTTTTTTTTGCGAAACACGGCCAAGATGGCGTTTGGCGGTACACGCACAGCGTTGATTATGAAGGTTAAGTAATATATATGTATAAAACTGTACAATACGTTGAATGTTAAACTAGTATTTCATTATTTGGAGAATAAAGAACAATATTAAACACGTTTGAGGTTATTTAAAGTAGTAACCACCTTCAATTTTTTCCAAATGATAAAATTATTAGCTGACTACCATAAAAACCTATTGCTGGCGGTTCCCCTTAAGTTTTTCTCTCGTTTTTCTTTTGATATATGTTAAACACATGGTTATGAACAAAAAATGACGTATTCAAGGTTAGCCCACTCTTTACTAGTGTAGCTATGTAGCCTGGAATGCACTTCATGTGACCTTGATTGCACGACGACGCTATTACTAAAATTCATGTTTTATATGTCTATTTACATTATGTAGAGCATATTGCACAACACCAAGCACTTTTTAGCTAATTAAGTAGTTACCGCATCGATTTGAATCCAAATCTAAAATTACTATTTGACTACCATAAAAACCTATTGCTGGCAATTCCCCTTAAATTTTTCTTCAGTTTTTCTTTTGATACGCGTTAAACACATGGTTATGAACAAAAAATTACCTCTTCTAGGTTAGCCCACTCTTTAATAGTGTAGCTATGTATCCTGGAATGCACTTCGTGTGACCTCGGTTGCACGCCGATGCTATTACAAAAATGTATGTTCTAAATGTCTATTTACATTATTTATCTGGTATTGAACAATACTGGGCACTTTTAAGCTTATTAATGTAGAAATCACCTTGATATTAATACAAACTAATAAACTACCTAAAATTACTAACTAAATATAGTAAAAAACCTATTGCTGGCATCTCCTCTTAAATTTTTTTCTCGTTTTTCTTTTGATATGTGTTAAACACATTGTTATGAACATAAAATGACGTAGTATAGGTTAGCCCACTTTTTAGTAGTGTAGCTATGCAGCCTGAAATGGACCTCATAATAGAATAATAAATTACCATAAATTTCTATTGCTGGCCTATCCCTTTGGTACGATTTTCTTTATTCTTTCAAAATATGTTTATTACATCATTACGAACTAGAAAACACGTCGCCTAGGTTAGCCCACTCCTTTATAGTTGAGATAGGTAACTTTGAATTAAACTGGTGTGACCTCGGTTCCATAAGAATCTAATTTACTAAAACTCAACTTTTTTCGTTTATACATGTTAGTTACACCTTAATAAACAATCCCTAACACCATTTCGATAAAAAATATTATTATTTATCAATTTAATGCATTATTTAAATTCTGCCTCAATAGAACAATAAATTACCATAAATTTCTATTGCTGGCCTATCCCTTTGGCACGATTTTCTTTATTCTTTCAAAATATGTTTATAACATCATTACGAACTAGAAAACACGTCGCTTATGTTAGCCCACTCCTTTATAGTTGAGATAGACCATTTTGATTGTAGCTGGTGTGACCTCGGTTCCATAAGAACCTAATTTACTAAAACTCAACTTTTTCCGTTTATACATGATAGTTACACCTAAATAAACAATACCTAACACCATTTCGATAAAAAATATTATTATTTATCAATTTAATGCATTATTTAAAATCTGCCTCAATAGAACAATAAATTACCATAAATTTCTATTGCTGGCCTATCCCTTTGGCACGATTTTCTTTATTCTTTCAAAATATGTTTATAACATCATTACGAACTAGAAAACACGTCGCTTATGTTAGCCCACTCCTTTATAGTTGAGATAGACCATTTTGATTGTAGCTGGTGTGACCTCGGTTCCATAAGAACCTAATTTACTAAAACTCAACTTTTTCCGTTTATACATGATAGTTACACCTAAATAAACAATACCTAACACCATTTCGATAAAAAATATTATTATTTATCAATTTAATGCATTATTTAAAATCTGCCTCAATAGAACAATAAATTACCATAAATTTCTATTGCTGGCCTATCCCTTTGGCACGATTTTCTTTATTCTTTCAAAATATGTTTATTACATCATTACGAACTAGAAAACACGTCGCCTAGGTTAGCCCACTCCTTTATAGTTGAGATAGACCATTTTGATTGTAGCTGGTGTGACCTCGGTTCCATAAGAACCTAATTTACTAAAACTCAACTTTTTCCGTTTATACATGTTAGTTACACCTTAATGAACAATACCTAACACCATTTCGATAAAAAATATTATTATTTATCAATTTAATGCATTATTTAAAATCTGCCTCAATAGAACAATAAATTACCATAAATTTCTATTGCTGGCCTATCCCTTTGGCACGATTTTCTTTATTCTTTCAAAATATGTTTATTACATCATTACGAACTAGAAAACACGTCGCCTAGGTTAGCCCACTCCTTTATAGCTGAGATAGGCCATTTTGATTGTAGCTGGTGTGACCTCGGTTCCATAAGAACCTAATTTACTAAAACTCAACTTTTTCCGTTTATACATGTTAATTACACCTTAATAAACAATCCCTAACACTATTTCGAAAAAAAATATTATTATTTATCAATTTAATGCATTATTTAAAATCTGCCTCAATAGAACAATAAATTACCATAAATTTCTATTGCTGGCCTATCCCTTTGGCACGATTTTCTTTATTCTTTCAAAATATGTTTATTACATCATTACGAACTAGAAAACACGTCGCCTAGGTTAGCCCACTCCTTTATAGTTGAGATAGGCCATTTTGATTGTAGCTGGTGTGACCTCGGTTCCATAAGAACCTAATTTACTAAAACTCAACTTTTTCCGTTTATACATGTTAGTTACACCTTAATAAACAATACCTAACACCATTTCGATAAAAAATATTATTATTTATCAATTTAATGCATTATTTAAAATCTGCCTCAATAGAACAATAAATTACCATAAATTTCTATTGCTGGCCTATCCCTTTGGCACGATTTTCTTTATTCTTTCAAAATATGTTTATTACATCATTACGAACTAGAAAACACGTCGCCTAGGTTAGCCCACTCCTTTATAGTTGAGATAGACCATTTTGATTGTAGCTGGTGTGACCTCGGTTCCATAAGAACCTAATTTACTAAAACTCAACTTTTTCCGTTTATACATGTTAGTTACACCTTAATAAACAATACCTAACACAATTTCGATAAAAAATATTATTATTTATCAATTTAATGCATTATTTAAAATCTGCCTCAATAGAACAATAAATTACCATAAATTTCTATTGCTGGCCTATCCCTTTGGCACGATTTTCTTTATTCTTTCAAAATATGTTTATTACATCATTACGAACTAGAAAACACGTCGCTTATGTTAGCCCACTCCTTTATAGTTGAGATAGACCATTTTGATTGTAGCTGGTGTGACCTCGGTTCCATAAGAACCTAATTTACTAAAACTCAACTTTTTCCGTTTATACATGATAGTTACACCTAAATAAACAATACCTAACACCATTTCGATAAAAAATATTATTATTTATCAATTTAATGCATTATTT